CACAAATAGAGTCAACAACAATCCCCCGCCAGCCATCAGCTGAATTACACAGGCACACCTAGGAGCAAGGCATAGACTTTTTCCCAGCCAAAAAACAGATACACAAGAAATTAACACCGTCTGCCTCGGATTTCCCCCCCCAACCCCCATTTTCCTTTTAGATTTTTCCTTTTTCCCCACCAGAAAGAAATACGCCCCACATCAACCTAGACCTGGACTGTTACATTTAATTCAGATACAGAGAATTTCCATGCACACGTAGGGTAAAAATCGACCTAGAGGTTGCAAAGTACATTTTGATAGGAGAAAATTTCCCGTTTTGGCATTCTTCGACACAAGCCGTTCGAAAGGAAGGCTTTAGTGCACTTTTAAAGGGAAAATAAAAAACAGATTACCACCACCTTTAGCTTTCAATCGCATTTCAAAATACAGTTGCACTTTTGGAGACCAACCCAAGGTTAGTTATCTAAAGCACCACATTGAAATATTTCACCTTTGGACCAGGCAGATGGCCGGCTGCTGCTTTCTTTGTGCATTTGTTTCCAACTTTACCCAGCCTGGTAGCACCTATTCCTCACCTATTTAAATAGGATCGTAATTAACTTTACATGCAATCAAAACGCAGTAAGGTTCAGTGGGAAAAAAAAAAGAAATAATAATCATAAAAAGAAGAACAGCGAAATATTACTAGAGAAAAGTTGAGCTGGTCGTATTTTACAACCTCCAGACCTGCTTTTTTAGAGGTATGGGGCTGCTTTTGGCTGCTGCAGCGCATTAGGGAGCAGACGGCTATATTCCCCGCATCGCAGAGGCGGTCTGCATGCACGAGAGAGGCAGATTTCTACAGAAAATCTTTGGACCCTTTTACGTAGCATTTTTTGCCTGCCAAAATCTTCAGAGACACAGCACCTGCAGCCCGATACTCCTTAGCATTAAATGTGATGGCTGTGATGCTCGTTAGTATATTCGAGCGTGCTTTATGGTGCTGGCGTGTTGGAGTTACACCACGGCACGGCTTAAACTCGGTAATACAGACCTTTACTCTCCTTCTCCTGGACTTCTGGGCTGGACACGGAGCCTTCGGGCAGGCAGCTCCGCTCGTCTTGCAACGTGGACTTGGGCTCGGGACTTTCCACTTGAGAGACTTTAGCGGTGCTGTCTTGGTTGTTCGGGTTCTCATTCATTTTCTTTTCCAGCTGAAGTTGAGCAGATATCTGCGGTTTGGAGCTGCCGCGAGGGTTTAACTGTAACATTACAGTTGAACTCGTTTCAGGGCTATTATTGTACTCTTGGGTTTTCCCAGTGGCGTAGGTCTGGCTCAGTCTAAAATATCCTGGGACGGGAACCTCGGGGTTCTCAATGGGGCATGATTCAGACACCAGCCTCTGGTAGGAAGGGACGTCTGCAGAAATGAGTTTGGATCTCTTATCGGAATACATGCAGCAATTGCTTTCTTCTTTAATATTTGTAGTGAAGGAACAAGTGGGGACCTGCTGTGTAACAGGTTGCTCTATTCGACAAGATCTGTTCGGGTCTGTCCAAGTGTCTACTTGAGGTATATAAGGATGTACATTCATACCCATATTTTGGTGATTAACTTCTCTTTTAGCCAGAGACGGAAGCAGTCCACAGGTTTGCATCCCATACGTCCCAATGTCTGTGCTAGGTGGCATATACATGCTGGCGCTGTTGGAGTAGAAACTGTCACTCCTGCACGCACTGATGAGAGAATCTACTAAAAAAGTATTAGCGGCAGGAGAGCTGTTGGGAAAGGACATTTTGGGGCGGAATTTGAGGAAGAGAGATTGTGTCCTTTGTAGGCTGACATCTCTAGGAAAACATTCCCGTGTAATTGCGGATGCCTCCGCGCGACCACATGACAGCCGGGCCAATGGCAGC